GGGTCATTAAAGGAGCTTTGCAGTTTCCTGAAGGCCCACCTTCCTCCCCCTTCCCCCATTTAATTCTTGGCCCCACATGTGGTACATTTGTACTCTCTGTCCTGTATACACATATTGATGGACAAGTTCTATAGGCTGCCCATCCACCTGCATGTCATAATCTGGGCAAGACATTTTTTATCCACTTGGTCTTTCCTGTGTGGATGATCCTGCCAAATTCTTGTGAGGGGTTACAGCTCTCATCCAGGAGGATCTATGATGTTCTAGGGCTTGATGGAAGCAGCACACTGTTTTTACACACAGAAGCATCTAGGAATTCCTCCCCAACTTGGACTCCATGCTGGATCTTTTTCATCACAAGGGCAAATACCTTTGTTCACCCTAATCCTCCTTATTGTGTGCCTGCCTGAGGTTTATGATCAGCAGGTCATCAAACAAGGTTATCTTTGTTGAAATAGTCACTATAAGTCATTTAATACCCAGAGTATCCATAACTAAGCTGTCTCTCCCAAACCCCTTTCTTCTCTCTAGGCTAGGCCATCTTCCTCACCAGAAGGCCAACAGCACATCTCCATCATGGACAGAGCAACTGTCACTGTTTGTTCACTTAGACGGGCATGTAGCAGCCCTCAAGACCAACTCTGCTTTTTGCTCCTTGGGTCTCCTTCACTGAGGCCCAGCTTCTTCTCCCTCCCACTTCATTTTCTTCTCTTTCATTATTTAACATTTTAATCCACAATTTAATCCATAGCCCCTGAAGGAAGTGCAACTGGTTCACTCCAGGGACTGCCTGACACTTGGGCCTGGTTGGCAGTAACAATGCAAAAGAGAAAGCAGAGCCTGGGGCCCCCATGCTCCTAAGTGGCAGAGTTGGCGTTCCAACCCAGGACCTCCAACTCCAAATCCAACCCCTCACTTCTCCTCCCCAAATCCACTCTGCCTTGCCTTGACTCATGCCAGGAAAATGTTCTAATCAACCCAAGGGTCATTAAGGTCCAACCAGTCACCAGGCACTGAGCTAGGTGCTGGGGATACAATGACAAAAATGACAGGGCCCCAGCACAGAGGGGAAGATTTCAGGTCAATACAAGGAAAAAGCTGAGAGGAATGTGAGCCCGTAAAATAGGATTGGGCGGCTGCACGTGGAGGGAGAGGGGATTCTTGGTTAGGTATTTGTTGAGAAGTGATGGATTCTGAGGTCCCTGGGCTTCTGTAATAGTTGTACCCCCTTACACACAGGGTTCACAGGATGAGAGGATCCTAGATCTAGAACTGAAAGGGCTCTCAGAGGCCTATTGGTCAATGCCTTCATTTTACAGAGGAGGAAACTGAGGCCCAGAAAGGAAGTGACTTGACCAAGGTCATACAGCTAATAAACATCTGAGGTCAATTTTGCACTTAGGTCCTCTTTCACTAGTGCTGTGCTTCAAGGAGAGCAATTTCAGTCTGTAACCTTCAAGCAAGATGGTCACTGCACTTCTTCTTTTTCTGATGTCGAGGGTTCTCAGTCAGTAGCCTCTATTGTCTGAAATAGGCCTCAAGTGCCAGAGCATGGGGAGCTACCATAATGCCCAAGAGTATCCAAGGAGAGAGAGAAAGCTTTGGAGTTTCACAGGCTTTAGGAGGCAGGAAAGGGAAGTTCCTGCATGTGCTGGGGCCACAAAAAGCTGGGGACACTGGGCCCCATTCCCAGCTCTTGGGGTACCTCTAAGAAACTGGCAGGGGGCCAACAAAGAGAGGCAGGGCAGGCAGCTAGAAATAGACAGCACCCCACAGCTTACCCAGTCTCCTGAAAGTTGGGTGGCAAGAAGTCTTTTAAAAGAGCAAATTCAGCTCTTTCCTTTCTCTCAAGATGGCAGACAAAAAACCCCCCCAAAGGAACTAAAGGAAAAGAAGGTCCGAAAGGAAAAAAAGGAGAAAAACAAGAAGGAAGATGTGGCTGAAAAGGTGGTGAAAAAGCCTCGAAAGCTCTGCAGCCAGAACTCACTCCTGGCTCAAGGGATAGGTAGAAACTCTAGGTCTGCAATGTATTCCCAGAGAGCCATGCACAAACGGAAATATGCTGCCCCAAAAACCCAGATTGAAAGGAAAAAGAAAAGTTGCCTGCTACTATCTCAAAGCTAGTTGGTGGTGATAAGAATAGAGGAACCCATGGGGCAGGTAGGTGGCGCAGTGGATAGAGCACCAGCCCTCGAGTCAAGAGGACCTGAGTTCAAATCCGACCTCAGACATATAACACTTGACACTTACTAGCTGTGTGACCCTGGGCAAGTCACTTAACCTCAATTGCCTCACAAAAAAAAAAAAAAAGAATGGAGGAACTCGTGTGGTAAAGATTCATAAGATGCTGATGACATTTTGTGAATCTTTACCACACGGGTGCCCAGAAAGTTGCTAAGTCATGGCAAAAATCCCTTTAGCCGGCATGTGAGGAGACTTTGATCTAGCATCACCCCAGCATGGTCCTGATCATGCTCACTGGCTGCCACAGGGGCAGGCGAGTGGTTTTCCTGAAGCAGCTGGCTAGTGGCTTGCTACGGGTAACTGGACCTCTGACCATCAATAGTGTTCATCTGAGAAGGACCCATCAGAAATTTGTCATTGCCACCTCTTTCAGGTGTAAAAATTCCAAATCATCTTACTTGTGCTTACTTCAAGAAGAAGACGCTCCACAAACCTAGACACCAAGAAGGAGAGATTTTTGACACAGAAAAAGAGAAATACGAGATATAGCAGTGCAAGCCTGATCAGGAAACAGTGGCCTCTCAGATCCTGCCCCAAATCAAGAAAATTCCTTAGCTCAGTGGCTACCTGCGTTCTATATTCTCTCTCTCCAATGGAGTTTATCCTCACAAACTGGTGTTTTAAATGCCTTGCACAGAACTCTTATTAAAATATTTAGAATAACAAAAAAAAGAGCAAATCTTGTTTTTCTGCTGATTTCCATTCATAGCTCAGAGAATCGATCTTTTCATTCCTGGTTCATCTTTGATGGTCGGGCTCCTCAGACTCTCCCTTGACTCTGGTGAAGTGGTCTCCCTCCATCTGGGAATTAGGATCAGAGATTTAGAATTGGAAGGGATTGAGAATAACCTGGGGCCTCATGGCTGTACTTTGTTGTTGTTTAGTCATTTCCGTTGTGTCCAACTCTCTGAGACCCCATTTGGGGTATTCTTGGCAAAGATACAGGAGCAATTTGCCATTTCCTTCTCCAGCTCATTTTACAGATGAGGAAACTGAGGCCAACAGGGTGAAGTGACTTGTCCAGGGTCTTACAGCTAGTAAGTGTCTGAAGCCAGATTGAAACTCAGATCTTCCTACCTCCAGGTCCAGTGTTCTATCCACTGCACTACCTAGCTGCCTACACTTTACAGAGGAGGAAACTGAGGCCCAGATAGAGCAAGTGATTGCTCTAGGTCCCACAGGCAGTGACAAGAGTCAGGATGTGAACCTACGGCCTCTGACTCCAGTCTCAATGCTCCTTCCAGTTGGTTGAGCTCCTCCTACCAGCATGGAACCACGGTGAGAGGTCAGCAGGGTGAGCTATTAAATTCCTCTCGCTTTTCCTCCTTCTCATTTCCATCCTTCCTACTTAGGAAACAGGGAACTGAAACGTGGTGAATGAGTGGCTGAGATTGGGAATGGCAATCAGTAGGGAATCAATCAATCCACTAATCAGAGAGGCAGCCTGGTACGTGGGATAGAGGCCTGACCTTGGAGTCAGGAAGATCTGAGTTCAAATCCCTCCTGAGTCACTTACTAGCTGTGTGACCTTGGGCAAGTCACTTTACTTCTGTCTGCCTCAGTTTCCTCATCTGTAGAATGAGGAGGTTAGACCTGCTGGCTTCTTAGATCCTTTCTGGCTTAAAGTCTGTGATCAGTCAGCTGATTGACAAGTGTTCAGTAAGCTCTCACTGTGCCTGAGGTTCTAGGTTGGCCCCTCATGATACAGGGACAAAAATGAAAGTCTCTGCCCTTTAGAAATTTTCATTTTGTTGGGAGAAAAAACACATATATACATGTGAAGAAGATAATAAACACAAGGTGTTTTTTTTGGGGGGGGGCAGGAATCACATTTCATTTAGACCCAACTTTTCTATTGTATGAGGGGTAGATGCCCTTATACATTTTATCTGGTAGCATTCCTAGAGAGTCCCAGCACTCCCAACTGTGCTGAGGTGGTGCAGCCTGGGAATAGAAGCTCCATTTTACAGATGTAAAAACTACAATTGAGAGAAGCAATAACACAGTGGAGCAGAAGAAAAAGCGCTGAGTTTGGAGTCAAGAGAACCTGACTCTACCTGGGTTCAAATCCTGGCTTTGCCACCTATGTGGGCTCCATTTCCCATCGCTATACCTTTGCATTGGCTGTGCCCTCTACTTGGAATGTACTCCCCTCCTTTGGTTTCTTTCAAAGCCCAGGTCAAATGCCATTTTCTACATGAACTTCCCAGCTACTGATGCTTCCCTTCCCCTC